CTGTTCTAATTTTTAGTTGGAACTACTTCTGTGTTTGTCTTGTTTGGTTTTCACATGTCTGCACATTGAGAGCACCTCTCTTGGCTGGGTAAAAAAACTGGTGTTATATAGCTCTCCCACTCCCAGGCCTACACTGACTATTGGCTAATACCTGCCCAGTATCGTTCATATGCAAATAGTCGGCGCCACCTATTTGAAGTAGGTTTTTTTCTCAACAACCCATTAAGGAAGATGACACAACTCCTGGTGCTTACAGCACTACATGCAACCAACTTGGAGTCTTTTATCAGGCTGACCCGATTCTGTTACACTCCCTTCTGATCACAGCACCAACATGCAGGAAGCAGATGTTTTCTTCTGGTGCTCCTTTACAGAGGAGGTACTTTGTCATCATTGTTTTCACAACATAGAGGAGGTACTTCATCTGCAGTGTTGTTACTATTCATCTCCACCATGGCAGGAGGCACATAGAAAATCTGGGAATCTATTTCCAACTCGTCATTGTTCATGGATGAATCATCAGTGTCTCTTGCGACAGAGCATTGGTCCCATGCAGGTCGGAGGTCTTTAACATGATGTGGCATACCATCAATCAGGACTGATTGTGGACTAATGATCCTAGTGACATTCTCAGTAGTAAATTTGAAAGCACATCAGTTCTGGGATGGTTTCACCCACACCACGTCTCCAACTTTATATGTTTCATGCATTGTCCATGGTGTTGGTGCAGATACAGTGTCAGTGCACTTGTGCCTAACCTCATAAGAATGAATTGTGTTAGTTGGTGCAGTTGAGCTTGACGTGTCATCCTTTGGCATTACATTATACCAGTAAATGGTTTCTTGTATAGGGCATTGCTTCCGCGCTGCAATCCATTTCATGGTCCTATAGCACCTTTCTATTATACCATTTCCAGATGGCACATGCGCACACCTAAAGTACAGCTGCACACCCCATTCCTACATAAAAGCCTTGAATCACCTGCTGGTGAATGCAGTATCGTTATTGGTAAGGATTTTATATAGTGGACCTCTCTCACAAAATATCAACTCCAACTGCCAAATAATGCTCTCAGAATCTTGTCACGCTAGAGGTTGCCAAAAAGAGAACCATGTTGGTCCACAGTCAATCAAGGTTAGGTAATGACTGCGCCCATAATGTATAATATTCATCCCCAGCCTGGACCCCTAGTCTTCCATTTGGCCAGCTCACTGATGCTGGATCTATGGACACTTCTGAATTACCATCTTGACAGTTTTGCTAGGTATGGAGGGATCAACTCACCTGACAAATTATAAGTAGTGCACTTAACACTGGGGTGACTACTGCGATGATGTATTTTCATTATTTCGCATGGCCCCAACTCTCCTATGGCTGCACTGCATGCTGAGAGGAAAGGTTCAGTGTCCTTCAATAAATCTAATCATCTCTGTGGAACTCTGGTAATATATACGACTGTATTCAGCTCTTGCAGTAAGACTGTCTGGAAAGGCCACAACAACTGGTGTACACGAACCTGTAGGTACGCTCTCCAAAGGTCCAACAGTGATACATTGCTCCCATGTTGTCACCATTCCCTTAGCTTATCCCCACAGAAATCCGCACTTGCCATGAACATCTTACCATACTCGTTTAACTCTTTTGCAATCCATTACAGGGTGTACCTTTTCCTTGCCCGCTTGGATAATTCCTTGGGAGATCTGAGCTCCTCATCAGGATATGATATGAGCCAGCCATTAGCCAACCATGTTTTTAACTACTGGTTATATTCCTTATGCGCTAACTCAGACACTGATACTCTGCTATCTTGTTTTGTAGGCACGATTTTCAGTCCACTTCCATGATGTTGTCTACGTTTTTTTTTTTTTTTTTTTTTTTTGCTTTTGATTGAACTTGACACTAAAGGTCTGGTTCCTCTATGGCAAGGGTCGGCAACCTACGGCCCGCGAAGGCATTTTGACCAGCCCACGAGCCTGATTACCAATGACTCTATTTTTAACATGAGAGACGAGGCTTTCGAATTCGACAAAAGGCCTGCTGTTATCTCAGTGCACTAAAAATATTAGACTATCTGCCAGTTATCTTTCATGAGACTTATTTTACCAAGTTGCATTGCCTATGTTTAATGTCAAATAATGGATACATATTTGTTATGACCCTTGACTACATTAAAAGATAACAGAAGCGAAAGGAACAATAAAGTGAAAGAGGCCAGGGAGGGACTGTCATGCGAGGTAGAGAAATCTAAAGACAGTTAAACATATGCACATTATATATACATGCCTCATGAATGTGTGGATGATACCGCATATGTACGTACATAAGTGTATATATTTGCAACTATTTGTACTCGTATGTATGAGTATATGTGCTTCGTTTTTGTTTGGTGTGTGTGTGTGGTTCATTTGTGGAACAATTTTCAATAACAGTTTCAAACCTACACGTCATAATTTCATCCATTTCACTTCAGTTGATTTTTTTCACTTTGAAGTATTTTGACGTTCCTTGAGGAAAAGTAATTTTTGTTAGGTGTTTTTAATTTTAGAGTTTCTTTTGTTTTTCTGATTTCTCAATGTTTATTTTCATTATGGTTTTAAATATTTAGGTTGACAGGGGTCTGCATATGTAATTTTCCTTAATTTTTTCATTAATGGCCTTCGTCGCCCCATGACCCCATTCATTATAACACGATCCGGCCTGCGGGGTCGATTGAGTTGCCGACCCCTGCTCTATGGTGAGAGCTGCATACAGGGATGTGTTTTCTCTCAAAGAGCTCCACTGCACCTGAAGGAATTATTCCTACTCTCCATAGTTCTTTGATTGTATTCATCCCGATCAGAAGGTCAAAACCAAGTAGCTTTTCTTGTGCCACCAGTACATCAATCTTGACAGGACTTCTACCTTGCAACCAGAAAGCAATGACTTTGATCCCACAACATGCTCTGATTTCCCCATCTATTGTTGTTATGCATGCAGGTCCTTTTGTCCATGACTGGCATATCTCTCTGCTGGCTATAGACAGCAAACAACCAGTATCAAGCAGCGCAGTGACGGTTCTGCCATCACCCTGGACCCCCAATCACAGGTAGTGCCGTACTGGTACTGACATATCTCTTCTCACATTTTCTCGGACTGTTTCAAGACATATGGCCCACAGTATGGCAATGGTAACAGTGCATGGTATTGCATTGTCCTCACTCCCATCCCCTGTCATTTTGTCAGCTCTGACAATTTTTCATCATATGGCTAATACTTTCCGACATGAACGTCTGTACTTTGCATTGGCCGGGCCACTGCTGCCACCATTTCTTTCTCCACCAATAAGTCTCTCATAATTTCCCAGGCGTGAGCAAGCAGCTGGTCAGTAGACAGCATACTAGACAATGCACAAAGAACCTGCTTCACACTACATGGCTACCCGTGTACAAATGCGCAAACCAGCATACAGTCACTCATCCTGTCCAACGAAAACACGAGTTTCTTCAATTCAGCAAGTTATATATCCACTAATTCGGTGTATCGCAGGTGCCACTCAATGAGCTGTTTGTATGCCATAAATGAATCCATAGCAAAAACTGTAACTAAGGTAGTCTTTATCTGGTCATCACTGGATTTTGCGTTATCATCCAGTTGTTGGTAAACTGCAAATGCTTCACCAGGAGTCTCAAAGGGATCACGTGCTCTAAAGACTTCACTCCACATAGCCTGCAAACGAGTTCCAGCTTCTCTATCCATTCAACCACTAGACGACTGGACGCCAATCTGTCAAACTCGGGAATTAACTTTAAATTGAATTTGGGGGTCTGCCATCATCCGTCAATTGCCGAAATAGCTTGTGTTAGTCTTGTCTGGTTTTCACATGTCCGCATGTTGAGAGTGCCTCTCTAGACTGGGAAAAAAAAATTGGTGTTATATAGCTCTCCCAGACCCAGACCCACATTGACTATTGGCTTCAGGATGTTGGCTCTCCATGGTATCCTGTTCTTAAATTCTAGAAAATTTTATGAAATTAGGTGGGGGTTAACAGATAAATATATATATATATATATATATATATATATATATATATATATACAAATGTGTGTATATATATATATATATATATATATATATATATATATATTTTTTTTTTCCACACCATTCTTATTGTACATTTTTCTGTTTTAATTTTGAATAGAAATTGGAAGCCTGAAGAGCGGAGCGAAATGGGTTTCTTTTCCCCACCCTTGTTGTTGTGTTTTTTTTTTATTATTTAATATTGTTTAATATGTCTTGTAATATTAAATTTTATACTTTTATTTCGATCATTAAATTTTGTACCTACAAAAATATCTTTTAAATATATATATATATATATATATATATATATTAACCAAGATTTTCTAAAAAATAGTAATCTTCAAAATAAATTCATTCATTTGTGAATAAGTCCTAAAAGTTTCATTAAAATTTGACAATTATTTGATTTTTGAAAGAGTTTCAAAATTAATGTTTTTCACTGGAAATGGCGGTGTGAAAATGTCCATTACCAGCTCTGTTGCACTGTCAATAAAAAAAAAAAAAAGATTTTTATCACATATTTCGAACATTTTTTAAAAATAATTAATAAATAATTTGGTTTTTCCTCTTAATAACAACATAAACATTTTGATGATAAAACTTTGTTTTTTATTAAGTTTGGGGCCTTTTTCATCATGGTATGCTTTTTTTTTTTTTTTTTTTTTTTTCAGCAAATTATTCAAGGTACCTGTTATTATTGAAAATTAACACCTGCCACCATGTCACACATTCTGATATCAAGCAAAGTCTATTTTACTGTTGACTTTGCACTTAACCGTCTTAGTGCGCACTCATAGAACATTTTAAGACATTTTTGACACCAGATAACATTAATTTTAATTATTTTATCAGTAATATACACAGAAAAGACTAATGTGCTTTCACATCATGTTAAAATTAATGCTCATCTGGTATTAAAAAATATTCCACTCTAGTAGAACAATGGTTACTAAAAGGTAAATCATTTTAGAAAGACTAAAATAACTATTTGCTTACATATTGTTAAAATACAATTTATGACTCTTTAAAACTATTATTTAAAACACCTATGACCATGTCACACATTCCAATATCAAGCAAGATCTACTTCTCTACCTACTTTGAATTTTTGACCTTTTTTATGACCATTCTTCCACTAGTGGAACATATTTTAAGACAGTTTTTAATACCAGATAAGCATTAATTTTATTATCTTATTGATAATATGCACTGAAAAGATAAAAATACAATAAGTGCTTTAACATGTTAAAATTAATGCTTATCTGCTATTAAAAAACATGTCTTAAAATATGGCTAAAGATGCATTCCGAAAGCTAAGTAGAGTATTAAGAGACAGAAAAACTTGGTTAGAAACAAAGAAGAGTACTGAACTGTTATGTGATATCTGTCCTTCTCTATGGCAGTGAATGTTGGTTAATTTCCTCAAAGATGAAGAAGGGACTTGAAACAACAGAAATATGGTTCTACAGAAGGATGCTGAGGATACCATGGTCTGAACATGTTAGCAGCAATGAGAAAATGGAAACAAAAAGGAAACTTATCAAGAAGAGGCAGTTAAAATTTCTGGGGCATGTAATGAGGAAGAATAGCTTGGAAAATCTGATACTCACAAGACAGATTGAGAGAAAGAAGGACATAGGAAAACAGTATGTAAAATAGTTGATGAGCTTGAGTAAATGGATGGTAGAACAGTGGGAGAAATAGCAAAAAAGACAATTTATTAAGAGCTACAAAGGATAGGAAGATGTGGAGAGTCATGATTGCTTACATTTTGAAGGGACACTGCACATAAAGAAGTGGATTAATGGGCACTAAAATGTTAAAGATTACTACGTATATATTCTTCATTGGGAGTACAGTTTTTTTTTTTGTTTTTTTTTCCTTTTTTATCTAGTGTATAATCTTTTGTACTGTTTGTAGAATTAGGTACCAAACTGCTGTTTTTTTTTTTTTTTTTTCAAAATACCTCAAAGAATAAATCATTATCATTTAGGATATGACACAGTTTTGAACACTACAAGAAATCAATCACAAGAAATTCGAAAATCCATAACAGTAAATATCAAGGTAGACAACAACTTCTGTATAGTGATTAAACAACATTCATGTGAAAGATTGACACCAAACACTTGTGAGTACATTCTTCAAGTATGACAATGTATGCAATGTATTATTTAGAAGAGATTGCTACTAAACAAGCAGCTAGACTAATTTAGATAAAAGTAAAACGTTTTGCTCCTTTTTGGATAAAAGCAAATTTGTTTTTGTCTGTTGCAGGCAGCAAGAATTAGTCAGACAAATTTATAAAGACCAAGATTGTACAGAAAAAATTGAAAATATAGAGCAGAAACATGTAAGTAGATATTTGACACTCTCTATTATCATTTTTCTTGTTTTTAATCTAATAAATCTAATATGACTTTTATGAAATGAAGAAGTGGGTATTATTAATGTTTCATATCCTAAGAAATTTTGGGCAAATATAAATGAGACTTCTCTGATATAGGTAAGCTTCTAAAAAGAATACAATGGTTCCTCCTTTTGCAGTTTAAATTACTTGTGGTGAAACAACAAAATAAACAATTAGTAACTTTTACTGGAATAGTCACAAAGTGCATAGTAATAATACAAGTAATTTAAATGTACCAGAGAAGAGTCATAGTTTCATTTAAGTGAATATACTTGACTTTAGAAGAGAAAAAAAAATTCCTATGTTGGGGTTAAGATCTACAATAAGAAATAAATCCTGCTATCCATCAAATAACTTATTAACATATAATTGTAATATGATTAGTTATTATTGTTAATTACTTAATTTGCCTAATCTATAAATTAAATTGTATATAATTATATGGTAGCACAATGTGGTATACAAGCTAATAGAGAAAAAAATGAGATCTCTGAGTGGTCTGATTTAACATCCAGATGACACCAACTGCTCTAATATAAACAAAAAAAAAAAAAACTTTTCTCGGTATTGGATTTGATAAGGTAATTTATTGCCCACATAACCACAAATCCCAATGCAATTTTCCTTACACAGTTTTGTTTCTGATTCTGATCTGAAGATGCCAAATTTAACACATGTTGGCAAAACACGTCATTTTAAAAAAATGCTTTTCCACTTTGTCACATTATCTTTTGTTTGGATTGCTATTCTACATCCTATTTACTAACACACATACACTATTGTATCAGAAGTAATGAAAGTTCACCTTATCAGTGGTCAAGTTTTGTGATTTCTCATTTGTCAGGACACATATAAGAAAGATTGTATTAAACTAAGCATTACCACCAATACTAACGCTAAAGTGATCAATTTCTTAGACATTACATTCAAGTTGAGTAAGGGCCAGTATAAACCATGAACTAAGGATTCATGCAACCCACAGGTATGTTGACAAAAAATCCAACCTCTATAAAAGGATCCTTGACAATTTACACAAATCTCTACAATTTAGGTTATCAACCAACTCCAGTAACAAAAGAAATATTTGGCAATAATAAAATAAAGCATAAGAATACAGCAACCATGAAATTAGAGAAAGAAAAAATAGAGATAAAAGTAAACTAAAACAACACAAATGTAACATAATATGGTTCAACTCGTCTTACAATAACAATGTCAAAACCAATCTAGGTAGAATTTTACTAAATTTAATTCACAAACATTTTGGTCATTATCCATCACTAAAAAAGATTTTCAACAAAAATATTAAGGTAAGCTATAGCTGTATAAAAACATCAATTATATATCCCAACATAACAATAATATATTAAGCAAGCACACAAACAAAACACTAAATAATAATCGTACTAAAAGTTAATGCAACTGCTGTAAAAACCTAACTTGCCCACTAAATGTCAGTGCATGACTGAAGGCATAACCTACAGAGCTAGGTTCAGTTCAGATGATGTTAAATATTACTTTGTTTCCACCGAGAAGAGCTGGAAATCATGCTTTTACCACCACAAAACGACACTGAAAAATATCAACTGCAAAAACTGCACAACACTTACAAAATATGTTAGGCAATTAAAACCAACTATAAGAACCCAACCATTAGCTGGGAGATAATTGTGAAAGCTAAACCATACAATGGAAAGGGAGACAGATGTAACTTGTGTTTGTTGAAGAAGCTTATTATATTAAATCACTTAAATATCCCTAAGTTGTTGAGCATGAAAACCAAATTGATGTCTACATGTATCCATAAAACCAAACATCTGCTCAAACATATTGACTCTGATTAAAATAGATTTCACAAATATTAATATAATATGTAACACCTATTAATATTCATAGACACCATCATTAATAACATCTTTTATATATCGATACACATATATAATCCCATATTGCAATACTTGATTAATTTATAACAAGTGTATATGTAATTTCATCTTTTGTAAGTGTAAAGCTAGATTCTGAACACATTAGATGTATAGTTTTGACCTGTTATTATATTAACACTGAGTACTAAGTTTATTCCATTAGACAGTACTTTAAATGTTATAACTATATTTTATGCAAAAAAGAGTTATCCCCCTTGATACTTAATTGTTTATTCCATTTTTAATTTCAAATTTTTTCATTCAAAATAATTTTTAATTTTATTTTTTCAATTCTTTGTCTTTTAAACTTAAGAATTAGAATGATGTCAATGATAAATAATTACTTATATTTTAGGCAACAATAATTAAATAAACATATCTTAACACACAATTTTAAATCATCATCATCACAAGAATGCAAATCCCATAATGTTATAATGGTCAGAATTGTATTCAGCACCTGAAGATTGCTGGTTTGCATGAAACTATGTGGGATATTATGTATATTCACTAATATACACTTAATAGCTTTGTTATATAACATTGAGCAATGTATTTATAATGCCTGTGAAAGATTATATATATATATATATATATATATATATAGTGCCTTCCTCATTCTCGAGTATGAGCATTGCTTGTAATGCTTCAGAATCAATTTAATCTGTGAGCAGTATGGATGTGTTTTTTTTTTTTTTCTTTCTTTCTTTCTTTTAGGCCAGCAAGGGACCTACACATTTTGGCACAGCTGTTATATGATTGCATCCAGCCAACAGGGTCTGATTGTTGGCCACCATGTATTCTCAGGTGTTGTTTCCGATCTCCAGCTGATCAGCAAACCTTGCCTCATTCATGACATGTCATGCTGCATACAGTAAAATCTAAGATAAGCCTCTGTAAAGGGCTTCTTTCTTAACTATTCAATCCCACTCTGCTGAAGCAGATTCTTCCTCATTCATTACACATCAGCTCCCTATCAGTATCATATCCATACTATTTCTAGCATCCCTCTTCAGCAAAAGGGAGCGAATATATATATATATATATATATATATATGGCCTAAAGAAACCTTTATTGGTGGAAACCACAGTAGCAGAAAAGGTTAGTGTTTATTATATTTTAAATATTAAATAGCTCTGCACTTTCAATTTCTTTTGAACTGTGTATTGACAACTTTTTAAAAATATAACCATTTCTCAGACAAAATTATAGCTTGTCTGTATAAAACAGTTTTATATATATATATATATATATATATATATATATATATATAATACTTTCATGGTAATTGCTCCGATAAGCTGCTTTCACTGGTTCCCAGACTCCATGAATTCAAGCGCCCTACGAGGCTGGCATCCTGCTCCCACCCTTACACTGTAGAAACTTTTACATGTAGCCGTCTCTTCTACTCCAATAGCTTCATATCTCGCACCTCTCACCTGTGGAACACCCTTCCCAATTACTGTTTCCCTGAGAGCTATAATCTCCAACTATTCAAATGTAATGTCAATTGACACCTCCAGTTAACTTGATCTACCCACTATCCCTCTCCTCATCCTTTCTTCTATCACTCCTATCTGCTCTTGCTCCAAATCTTCTGCAACCCCCTGCATCCTAGTGGCTTCATGCCTTGCTCGGAGCGTAATGCTTAAAAAAATAAATAAATAGATAAATATATATATGTGTGTGTGTGTGTGATTTGTATATTCCTTTTCTTATTTGCATAAATCACACCATAAAAATTAGAGTTACATGGATTGAACAAATAATTAAAAAAAATAATAACCTGAATACAGGCAATACAAAAATACTAAAAAAAAAAATGTAATTGCAGAATCAAAACGAAATATCCAATGTAGGGAAATTGTAGAGAGGATAATATAATATGTAAGGCAGAAGTGACAACAAAAGCAAACTTTTGCCTTCCTGAGGCAAAGATTTACATCAGAGCAACTGGAAAAGAATTTAAAGAAAGGTATATGGAATCTGTTGCTATCATTCATGTATGAAAGATCCAAAAATAGCACCATGCTATCAAAACACATATGGAAACTAAAAAATAAAATGGAAAACACCAGTAATAGAATGTTTTTTCCCCCATTATGAGCATTATTATATCAATGATATAATAATACCTTAATACATGGATAGAGCAGAATGGCTGAAGGAAAAGGAGTGACAAACCTACTTCATTCTCAGGGAGAGTTTTATACCTTTAAGTAATACACAAAATTATATACAAGCATTTACTCCCCCACCCCCGGGTAAATTATAACATGTGCATATAACAAGCAGTGTGATAATGACAGAGAGACGTAGGGTATTACTTGTAATAATTCAAGCTACTGGAGAATTCTTCTAGGTTTCTAAAGTCATATTTGTATCTCCCAACAGGGAATCCAAGTGGGCTGGATTTATCTTCTATGTCATTGGTGAGGACATAGTTCTCAAATGGAAAATGCTGAGTCATGGGTATTTTCCAATATGTGGGCTGTGAGTCAGATAGTTCCATAGTTTGAGCAGGCCAGATTTATCATCTATGACTCTGGTTTGGGCATATTTTTTCCCCTAACAGAAAAATCGCACTATGGGCTTGTGAGCTGGCCTGTGATAAAAAAGAAAATGCTCTGGTTGATGCCTGGAAGCTAACTGATATCTGACCACTTTCATCAGTCTATGAATGAACTGATGTCAGTAAGTGGCTGTCATGTGACCCATGTGAGTTGATTTTAACCAAGGGGAGATAATTGCCTTTTGCATCCCAGCACTCAAACTTTAGTTAACACCCAAATTTTTTTTCCCCATTTGTTACTTAAAACTAAACACCTTTAATGTTACTGGTCATCATTCAAAAAGATCACTTTTGCTTGCATTGTGGCAGCAGTTATGTCATTGTACATTTTGCCAAATAGTCAAAAAGGGGGAATCTTTTAGTTAATTTAGAACATTGAAGGAAACATTTTTAACACAGACTTTCCTGCTGTTTATTGCACAAATAAAAGGTTAATCCATTACCT